CGCGGGCGTCAACTTGCGCCAGCTGGCGGCAGCGGGCCGGGCGGCCAAGCTGGGCGAGCTCACCCCCGCTCCGGGCCCAGTCCAGATTCTGGACACGATGCTTGTGGATCGTCCGCTGCCGTACGTGAAGGAAGAGCTCATGGAGCTCCGCTGCGCGAGCAGGCTCCTCTACGGCAAGATGATGGGCCACGGCGATCTCATCTCTGGCGCTTGCCTGTTCCGGCGTACCATCCACACTTATCTCTTGCTTCGGCTGCCGCGTGTTCTTCAGACGCCGTTGGCTGTCGCGGGCGTCAACTTGCGCCAGCTGGTGGCAGCGGGCCGGGCGGCCAAGCTGGGCGAGCTCACCCCCGCTCCGGGCCCAGTCCAGATTCTGGACACGATGCTTGTGGATCGTCCGCTGCCGTACGTGAAGGAAGAGCTCATGGACGACGATGGCGAGCGCCGCCTGATGGACGTCTGAGCTAGCCGGGCTGAGGTAGGTAGGATCAGCACAGGCCTGCCCTCCGCCCGGGAAAAAGGTCACGTCAGCAGTCGGGGTTGAGGGGCGCGGTTGAAGTCTCTCAGCTGTCGCACCGCCAGTGGCACCGGCGGCCGNNGCCGGGTGAGCCGGGCCACGGGCTCGGAGATCTCCCGGCCCAGCAAGCCCCTGACCCGCCAGGATGCCAAGGGGCTGCTCATCGCCATGGGCTTCGGCATGTCGGCGAGCAATTGGTGCTCAAAGCACCTCGGCTTCGTTCCGAGGAGCGCGGAGGACGACCCCTTGCTGGACCTTCGGCTGTGGATCGCGTGCTCGTCAGGTGCCGGGATGCGCTGATCCCAGAAGCGCGCGCGTGGCACAGGGCCAGAAATCGCGGCCTGGCGTCCATGGGCTACTCCAAGTACGCCTCCCTGGAGCGGCGGGCGCTGGAGGCCTTCAAGCGGGCTGTCGGGGAGGACCTGGTGGCTCTGGAGCACGACGGAGTTGCGGTGATGCGGGAGAGCGCAGAGGCGGTGGTCGCCGCGGCCGCGGAGCTGGGCTTGCAGGTGGCCGTCAAGGAGACCCCGGACCCCCTCCAGTACGCGGCGGAAGAGCACCCGGAGTTCAACTGGAGCCTGCAGGCGAAGCGACCCTACCGGGAGTTTGCGCAGGTGCGGGACGCCTGCCTCGTGCACATCTCCCTGCGCCGAGTGCGGCCCAACGGCTCCGACTTCGCGGACTTCGTGGCATCCCTCCTGGCTCCCGTGGTCAACGTGCCTCACGAGGACGGGGAGAAGCGCACCACCTTCGAGTTCTTCGATGGCAAAGGCTTCTGGGTGCCCAAGCACAAGGACGACATGGGGGCCCTCATCCGCATGAGCTTGAAGAACCTCTCGCGGCCCGCCTACGCCGGCCCCTTCACTCCGCCGGAGCCGCTCAACGACAGCTGCTGGACCAAGAGCTTGGTGGACGAGGTCTTAGGCTTGCTGAGCGGGCACACCATGGCTCCGCTCAACGCCGACAGGACGCGGGGGAAAGTCCTGTACTCCGACGGGGTGGTGGTCGGCACCGGGGAGCGGAGGCTGGCTCAGCCCTGCGGCCGCATGTCCTTGCACGCAGAGGCGACTTCGGCAGCCTGGGTGCCGCCCGTTGCCACGCAGCTCTTCAGCAAGGTCGAGACCTTCCTCCGGACGCGCGGAAGGACCCTGGAAGAGAACGAGGAGGGGCTCGCGGTGGTGGAGGCCTTCGAGGAGCTCAAGCCGCACTCCGGTCTCCTGAAGCTCCTGAGGAAGTACGGCTCGTGGTTGCAGGTGCTGTACATTCTCCGCCTCTTCGCCCGTGCGATCGTGGCTCTGGAACGCCTGTGCGAGCTCTTCTACCTCCACGGGCCGGGCTCCTCCGGCAAGGACGTGCTCATGCTGATCCTGCTGCGCTTCCTGGGCTACGAGCCGCAGCACTACGGGCTCCTCGTGAGCGGTCGCTACTTCGTGGCGGCCGTACTGGGGCTGGAAGGACCGCTGCGCATTGGTGGGGGCCCGGAACGCCCCCGCCTCCTCCAGCCGCCGCTGGCGGCCCTCCGTGAGGCGCTTGTTGTGCTGGAACTTGTCTGCGTTGTCTTGATAGACCCGGAACGATGCAGCTGGCATCTTCT